GACAACAATCCCTGCCCTCTCTTACTGCCTACAAGCATGTTCCAGAACCACCTCCCACTCACTGTGGAGTTTTGCCTACAAATATAATGTCTTACTCCTTTATCATCATATCCTTCAGCTTAACATCCAGTTTAAAACCATAATGTTGGGAGAGCATGTTCAAAGAAGCATAACAGCAGAAATTTTCATTGGGGTCTTATGCCTTAATCTCTTCTATCTAAAGCAAAAGAGTAAAAGGTAAGGCAAGGTATGAACATTATTAGATGGTAAGCATAGTGACATTTTGTTCGTCCCTTCCCACATCATCTGAACGACAAACAAGATAATGCTCTCTGCTACAGTTAGTTAACTGCTTACGGTTTAACTGTGGTATTCTCTTTCAACACAGTGAGCACTGACAGCTGTGGTTTCTGACTCCCTAGAACTTCAATATGATACTAAAGGCCTTTCCTGCTCAAAAGCTTACCAACAAGGTAAATGTCACAGTTCAGAAAAACTGAGAGAGATATGGTGTAACAGATTTTCATTCAGATTCAAGAACAATCATGTTTCCTTCCATTTTGGTAAGTTTGCCTGACACAGACTTTCTTTCATATTGACTAAGTACTTCATTCTGATAAGTGTTTTAAAATTGCTTTACAATGGGAACAAACACAAAAAAGGGGAAAGAAGTCTAGCATATAAAGTGTGCAATATATTATAAACAAATGCCTCAGTAAATTAATGAAGGTTGCCTTGTGGATCACATCTGAAAACATTTCTTTCTTGTCTCTATGTAAATTAAGACAAAATGTTATAAATGTTAAGTAAATGGCATGCACAGGCAACAAGATTGTTAAATTACTAAGTGCTGTTGCCCAGACAAGTATTAATTCCTGTAAAATGTGCCATCCATTCAGTATTAACTGACAAGATATCCTGAGCTCAGCCCACAGTGAGTTGAAGATTTGTTTACATTGAACTGAAGGAAAAAAAACCCCATTCTTTCCACTGCATTGGTTTAGGGCCAGGACATACCCTGCCTGCCAAGAAAAGACAATGTTTTGGAGATGTGAAAAAGTGGATTTATTTTTTAGGTGGATATATTTTTCAATATTTTTTAAATACAAAAAAGACTTGGAAACTTGCTTGAGGATCAACAAATAATCAAAATATCTGCATTTTAGTCTCTCTTTTAATATGACCCACTTGCATGAAAAGAACTCTGCTAGAAAGAAAAAAAACAGTCCTGCTGTTCTCTCTCTTCTTGGAAATCCTCGGGAAGAGGAAGGTCAGTGATCATGATGTGGTATCCAGCCCCTTTGAATTTTCTTCCTGATGTCTAGACCTAAGCACGGGGAGGGGTCGCGCTGATTGGACTGCTTCAATCTCATATTACAATATTACTTGGAAAATGAAAATAACTTTAGCATTGGATAATGATGATATGAAACATATGCTCATTTAACAGTATGTCAATACTTCTTGATGCCACATAGGAAGTTCTGGGATAGAGAGAAGTCCTGTACTAGAACCTGAAACATGATTTAGCTGCTTTGTTTTTCTCCTGTATAAAACAACTGAGTCATAGATTCATTAGTGGAACACATTACCATATTTAGGATGTCAGTTGTATCTCCAAGGTTTCTGTGATTATTTTCATCATCTGAATCTTCTTCTGCAGAGCCTTCACTGAGTTTATCTTTTTGATGATTTTTTTCTTTAAGATAAAATAGGGAAATACCATAGGAACAAGTGATACACAGCAAACAGAACATCCCACTCTTGTAAAGTAAAGGGATTATTTCTATATTACTGCAGTGGGACTGAAGCTCCCCAGCCTAAGCCAAAGCAGAAGCACTTTCACTTCCTTTCTACCAGTTTATATTAACATTAGAAGTAGTTCAACAGTCTAGTCTCTGTGCAATGCAGACCTCTGACCATTTTTGTAGTCTTTCAATGCATAAATATTCCAGGTGACAAAGCTCCTTTTGGATAATCTTTTCAATAATATTGTTCCAATTACACTTTATTAGCTGCAGTCATTATTATCGACAATGCACATTATCTGCAGAGGCAGTGAGTTTATTAGCTCTGATGCCACATCATACAAATGCACCTATATCATTTTCAGGTTCACCTCAAGCTCAACAGGTATATGACCAGCTTGATATGGAATAAAACCTAAGGTTTCAGATCTAAGAAGACTCTAAAGGCAAATTTCACTGCATTGCTTTCCTGGAACCAGAAATGCTGATGAACATGCTAGCAGCTCTACAAATAATCATCTTAAGTCTAGCTGAATTAGTAACTTTCACATTGGATTTGATCGTCCAGTCAATTTGAGCTCACTTCACACTGAAACGCTGTGCTTTCTGCACTCTTCAGCATTCCTCTTCCTAGGAAATCACAGACGCCCAGGAACCCAGATGCAGGACAGAGCTGTATTAGAGAGCGTTTGCAAAACTTCAGTCCAGTATTAATATCATTGTTATCCAGGCTTTTGCATTAGCTAGAATATTCCAAGTTAGATAATGGAGAGTCAACAGTACGTTTGCATTTCCAAGGGAAGAAGGAAGCTCTTGGGGCAGTTAGCAGACCTCTTTCTTATCCAACATCTCTTGTAGGCTTCGCTGAGTCTTTAAGATGTTTCCTAACCACTTTTTCTTTTAATTCTTTCTCTTACGAAAATGGAGAAAGTAGTTACCAATCTTATAGTATTTTTGTGAAGTCATATTTGTATACCCTTGAGGAATTACACAATTTAAAAGTTCTTTCTCTTTCATTCAACCCTCTTCTAAACCTTTAAGCACTTTTTCCAAATACGAACGATGTTGGAGGAAATTTCTTGTATGTACTTCTCAGCTTTTATGTCTGTACTCTGTCAGAGCCTCATGAAGTAAGACTGAACAGGAACCTTGTTTCATGTTCCAACTGAGCATTTATGAATGATGAAAGCAAACTACATAATTCTCAGAAAATAGCAGCAAAATGTAGGGGCACTTCACCTGTTTCATGGTCCAACTCCATAGGCTTAGCATTAGGAAGACTTGTTGCAGAAAAACAGAGTGGGCTAGTGTTGCTAGTCACATGCAATGGAGATTTTAAAAAGTTTTCTCCCAGTGGAGGCAGGGTTTGCACCATTCGAATAAACTGTTCTGGTGACTTTTCCTTTAGAAGATTAACAAAAAAAAAATGAGAACATTCTGAGGACAAGAAGAAAAGGTTAAAATGTAAGCAACCTCTCATACCTAGCAGTGGTATTTTCCTCTAGTTGATGGTATAGCAAAGTATGAACAAAATTTCTTGCACATTTTGATTATTTATAGTCCTAGAAAATGGAGAGGTATATGATGAGATATTTTAGGTTGTCTCTACACAATAATCAGCCTATGTCGTCTTAAAAAATGTAGACAAAGGAGAAAAAAAGCTTTGCTTTTTATTTAAAGTAAAAATACCAGTTTCTCAAATTAAAAAACATTGAGGTTTTCCATCCATTTTTAAAAAATAAACGAAAATTCATCTTTTGTGTTTTTGGGGTAGAGTTAGTTTTCAGACAGGTAAGTGAGATGATATCTGTGCCGCTCAAGGAAAATCACAGGGAATGTGTAGTTGAAGATAAAGGAGTTTTAAGTAGTTATATGGTCTTAGGCTCATTTAAAGCTGATTGTGGAACCTCCCTCTTTGATGTTTTATGTACTATGAACTAGCTCAATCTATTCAAGGACTCAGAGAAAACACTGAAAAGAGTCAGGTTCTCTCTTTTTTTTTAATATTTCTAAGATATTTTTAAAAACACAAAGGAATAGAATTAAAACCAAAAACAAACTGAGTCTTTTTCATATGTCATAAGCAACTAAAACTGGACCAATACCTATTTTTTCCCTGCATGAATTTTGTAAACAGGGTAGGTATCCCTTCTTCTTTATACACATTTAAATTAAATATGTATTTTAAGGAGAGGTATTTATCTGCTTGGTATGTGCTATAATTTTAGTTTAAAAAGTGATTTTTTTTCTTGCAAAAAATATGGCAACTCTAAACAATTCTGAATTTACCTTCTCTCGACGTCGCATTCGTGCTGATAATGTTCGTTGTAAAGTGTTTGTTACTGATAAATCTCCGCTCATTCCAGAGATAGTAGCAGTCAAACGGTTTTCATACAAATCTTCTAAGAGCATTTCTTCAGATCCTTTAGGCCTTGGAGTAGCAAAAACTAGCATGTGACAACCACCACAAGCAACCTACAGTACAAAAACAAAGTTCTGATTATTTCATTTGCATGTATCAATACAAGGATCTCATTTTCTTACAGTCATCTCTAGGGACTTAAATAATAACAAAAACAAACAAACAAAAATGTTAAATTGAAAATATTTTGCTGCAAATTTAGCTACTGGCTTTAGTAAGATAAAAGCACGTAAGTATGATTTATGATGCTTAATTATCTATGTCCTTTTTTTTCTTACTTAAATATAATATATTATATTATAATATAAGTAACTTAAATTATATTATATTTAAGTAAAACTTAAGAGAAGGCTAACAAATTATTGTTACAGAAGAAAACAAAGTTATTTTCACTGATTTTCAAAAGAATTGTAGCTAATTAGTTTGATGCAAGTCAAATGTTAACAATACTGATAACTACAGTGACATAAACTTAGATATTTTATCACAAAACCCACAAAAAATAATGCAAAGTGCTAAACTCATCCAGTAGACAAGGTATCATTACATAAAAATAATGGTTTCACTTTTTAAAAAGTTTAAAATCCTTGCCACTTCTGATAAAATGTTCCTAAACTCTACACTCAGTAAACAAACAGAATTCATAACCACATATGTTTTTTCCAAATTTTACTAGATCCTGAGTTATGTTTGTATTTTTGATACTGGTAATTCTGAGATATTTTTCTTAAACAACCTCAGGAAATAGATTAAAACAATGCCGTTAAAAGAAAAGACTATTTCTCTTTTCTCATCCTGTTTGAATTAAAAAAGCAACAGCTTAAATTTTCTTAAGATTTTGTAAATATCCCACTGTACAAACAATCATTCAAATTAAAATGATTTCACTCTGGTGTTTTCAGAACAGTTATCAATTTCCCTCTTACTAACAACAATCAAAAAGCAGCATTTTATTTTATAGACTATCAGTTCTATAGACCAAAACATTATAGTATGGCACTATTGAATAAAACCCTAAAAAGTGGTCTGTATGCACAGCCCAAACCAAGTATATTAAAACCTAAATAAGCAGCATGATAAGTAAATATAATCTCCTTTCTTTTTCCCATTTTTGTTATCTATCCATTAAATATTGTAGGAAAAAATATGCTATAATAAACTTCAGCAGTCATTAATAAGATGTCTCATAAAAACATAAACATTTTGACGTCTGAGAAGCACAAACAAAAGTTTTACCAAAAGGACTGTGAACCTCAAAAAATTAGAACACAGAGTGGGTTCAAACTGATTGGTAAAATTCTCTTCTCCAAGTCCTAACTTGCCATGTCGCCCATCTCCAAAAGTAAACATAAGGCCATTCTCTGTATGTGGAAAAAAGGATATTATTAAAAATTAAGATTCAGTAGAAAAACAGGACAAAACCATTACAAATAAAGCAATCGACTGTGCAAGTAAGGAACATTTCTCTTCCAAAAGTAAAAACTGAACAATTATTTTTAGACTCTCTATGGATGAGTATGATCCAAAAATATGTATATTTTCAGACAAAGTACAGTCTGAGATTAGAGTTAGTCTAGACAATTTGAAAAAAAATCCAAAACAATAAAATAGAAATCGTATAGTGAAACAAAGTCTTATAAACAACAATATTTGTTTGCAAAGCATGACTATGAGGTTGCAGTTCCCCAGGAGATACTGTGTACAGAACTACACATGGCTGTGAATCAGAAATTCCTAATATCCAATCTGGCTTTCTCACTAACTCCCACATAGCTTTGGCCACTCAACCCTTAGAAATAGTAAGTCTGCATATATCTTCTTCTACTACTACTCATTTTATACAGGAAGCTTATTAAGTGCAATGGAGAGTCACTAAAAGTGTATTTCAGAATTTTTCAGTTACGTACCTGCTATTACAGCAGTATGATTTTCCCCACATGCAATGTTACGTATTTTATGCCTCCTCAAATGTTCCACAGACTTTGGTACAGGAGTTTCAAAAATAAAAGTACCATGTCCCAGCTGTCCATACTGTCCAAGTCCAAAAGTATATACATCTGTCTCTGAAAAAGTACAGAAGTTAACAACAAGTATGCTGCCTTATATATTATAACCTGCTTACTATTAACAAAATGGAAGTTAAATGACATTGGCATCAAAAAATCAATACTTTATCAATTAATACCAACAGAAGAAAATTAAAAGAAACAGGCAGTGAAGCAGTAAATTAAATAGGTACAGAAAAGAATTTTGAACAGTTCACTACGCAACATATTTTCTAATACATAGCATGATCACATGTACATATAATATCAGCTAATACAAAGATTTATGGGAGTTTACTGCAATTAATTCAAGATCACAGTGTTTACACATATGCATTTCCAAATACAATAGTCTAATCTTAGTTTCTCGTTACCTACAACATGTACAGTGCATGATCCAAAATTTAATAGACTAGACCCCTTTAAACTAGAACTAATTTACTAATTTGTGTGGAAGAAAATACTGGAACAACAGCAGAACCAGTCTCAATATTCTGTTTGGCTACCAAATCAACCCTGCCTTCGACACGGAGAACACTATAATTGTGTTATCTTGAGAGAGAATAATCTTTTTTCCACACTGTACGTTTTGTCCATTTAACAGACTATCTGTGCCAGGAAAAAGCATGTGAGGTTCTCCAAGGCAATAAAGATTCTTGGTGTGTCCATCCCTGGCACTCCATCACAACAGGGGAAGACTGCAAAGCTTGGAAATCTTGATGAGGTCATGCTCAAAAACGGAAATTCAAAGACTAATTAGCTGGCGGAAAAGGAGACATTTTCCTAGAATTTCTATTCTTTCTCTCTCCTCTTTTTTGTCAGTAGGCAACAACAGAAAAGCAAGAGAGATACTAACTGAACTTTGCAAAAGGCAGTGAAAACCAGTGAAAGATTAGGAAGGACAAAAAACAGTCTGCTGCAAGCAAAACGAACTGATATGGGGAGCAATACATCATTACATCATTATCCTGAAGAGGGTGCAGAGCATGCCCACTCCTGCACACAGAGGCCATCAGATCAAAAATGTCACCACCTTCAAGAGGGAGACAGGAATGGGCTTCCACAGCTGAACGTATGGAATGATAATCAAAGGGGAATCTTTGCTTTTTGAGCACTTATTCGTGTTCGGGAAACAAGGTCACTAGAATAGCAAAGTAAGCTTCAGTGCCACAAAACTAGCTTATACTGTGTAACCAAATACTCTTTTGCTGTTATTCTTAGAGCAGCCACAAACTAGAGAAATACTAAAAACCTGTGTTACCATTCTCCTGAACTAAGCTTTTGCTTCTGTCAGAGAAAGAGCGAAGCAGACAATGGACCAGATTTCCTGTTGCTATCATAGTACACCTAGGAATTTATATTGAACTTTCACATTTGCAAAGGAAGCAGTTTGAAATACTGTAAACATTAAATATGGAAAAATTCTCTACCTAGGAACAGTTTGCCCTTTCCACCCTTTTAAAATTGTTCCTATTAAGATGTCATGAATTCTCATCAGAAAAAAACTAACAATGGTCTCAAACTTTTTTAGACTGAAAGTGCAAAATATTTTGTAAAGCCTTTTTCTACTAAATTTAATAGTAAAGCTCCCTCTACTGGAAATTTCAGTGCAAGAACGCAACACCTTAGAAGAGGGTCTCTTTTTAAAGTAAAACAACGAGTAAGAATTTTTCTGTTATTTGTACTTTCTGGATAAGAATCGAGAAACTACTCCTGAAAGACAGAAATTTTCTCCAAGTTTCATCTTCATTTTAGTAAATGGATTTCCTCAGGATGGCTGATTCCATAAATTCTATTTGAAAATACTGCATTTGTCTTAATATTTCTTTGCTGACAGGCAGATCATATCATTTTCAAATAGTATAGCTTTATCTGACTAACATAATTATTTCAAGTGAAGTGAAAGTTTTCTTCATATTATCTTTAATCGTAGGTTGAGATAGGAAATACTTCTTTCATAAAACAAGTTAGGCCTACAAAGGCTTTCATGTTTAGAGGAAGATATTCCCAGATGTAAACTTTTTTTTTCTGGGGGAGAATAGACCAATCCAAAAGCAATTTGGAGTCCCTTCGTAAGTGCCTTTATGAGAAGAACGAATTTTTCCACTGCCCCTGGAGACAAAGGGGAACCTAAATTTTGCTCCTCCTAAAATCTGCTTATTAGTCAATTATCAAGTTACAGGAAGACAAAAAACCTGCAGCTTGCTTAAATGAGAGAATGTTCTGAGAGAACATTTGTTCAGGACCCAGCACAGAAGTGAGGCCAAACTTCAGCGATAATCCCATTTAGCAGAAATGAGGTATTTCCTCCAAGCTATCTTTATAAATACATGCAGTCAGAAGTCTACAGCAAAACAATCTCATGATGTCATGATAAAATGTCAGATGTGAACTCCATCATTCTGAACTTGAAGTTGCAAATGAATTTGCTGACAACATAGATCCAAAGGGGGATACAGACACACAGTTTTCTTCTTCATCTTCTTACTGTACTCAGTCCCAGTAATGATAAGGTTAGATGATACAGATGAGACGCACTGCCACCAGAAGGGCAGATCTCGCTCCCCCGTTCTCCTGCCCCGACTTGCACTGTCTCTGCTTTCCACCTGGCTATTGGCTACTTGGCTCAGGAAATCAGGTTTTGGGTTTTTTGCTGCATCAGGTCCCTGTGGAACAGTCAAAACGGCACCACAGTGGTACAAGGGGAGAGGAAAGGCATACAGCCAGCGCAGCGTGTGGGAAGTGGCAATGCCTCCAGTGGTGTCAGTGAACCACGAAGAAGGTGCAGCTGATTCACAGCACCCAGAGGAAACAAAACAGAATTCCCCTCTTGCCCCAGGAAGGGATTGCTGTCTTCCAGCAGCCTCCCATGAGAAGGGTCCCTGAAGGATGAAAAGAAGCAGTTTCAGAGCCTGCGCAGAAACCAGTGGCTTCCCTGTTCCAAATGATCTCCTGTATTTAAGTGTTGGGAATGCTTCTACTTTACTTCCTGTATTTTCTTTTTTGGAAGAACAGGGATATTTCCTGGTAACTGTTCTCAAAAGGACATCTTCCACTTATGACAGTTGTCCCTACAAACGAAATAGTCCTAGGCAAAAATCTATGCAGCTTTCAGAAATTTTTTATTCCTCATGCTATTTGGTGAAAGAACTGAGGGAGTTCCAAAAATCTTTGTAAGAGCCACACGTTCCTTCCCACATATTTCAAACTGTTTGCAAAGTTACAAATCCCCAGAAGAATAACAGAAACACACCAGGTATTCTAATAGCTCTCCATATAGCTTTATTCCCCTTGAACCATGTTGTTGTTGTTATTATGTCAATGAGCCATTCACTCTTATTACAGCTTTATTTTTAGAAAGCTTATACTGAAAAATATTACTGTAAAAATCAGCTGTCTGCACAACACTGAGTTCTACCAGAGCCAGTAAACTGGATTTGGGGATTTCACAATACATACTATACAGACTTAAGGCATATTTGATAAATCTAGATAACCCCTATATGGTTTCAATAGTCTCTCGGTTCTGTCATGAAAAGGTATAGGTTTTTCATCCTTCTCATTCTCTTTCAAAATGATATCTCGACTTTCATTTCTTCTTAAAAACTTCGAGATAGAAGATGAAACATCCAAAATTTTACATACTAATGCATTAATGTTCTGTATTGTGATGTCAAACTATCTATTCTCCAAGGACTACTTCACTTTTTCCTTTGAAGAACTATCTTTGCTTTCCCTTCCTTCAGAGAATAAAAGGAGGTAATATATCCTTTTATAGACAGAAATTTTTATGGACAGATTATTTCCAGAAGATCTGACCTCATACGAAAAAAATGGAAGATACTAAGGCCACTCCCAATCATCTGTTTTTGCTTCTCTAACCTCCTCAATTCAGAATTTTTTTTGTTCAACTTTATTAAAAGCTTTTTTGAAAAATATAAAAGTTGGGATTGCTGCTTTCTTATTGAAAGTGATCATACCAACAGCTCTCATTTTCAGTAGAAAGTGTTTGCAAGAATCTTAGGTAGTGGATGGGTGTCATTTTAGTTTCTGAGTGATAAGTCATCTGGGATGAGGATATGACCTTCTTGGATGAGCTGATAAAGTGTCATGAAATGGATAGGTTTGTGCTGCTACAGTGAGAGAAAACTTGCAGCAATCCAATTTTTAGCTTTTTTTTTGTTTATTTTCTAGAACAATGTAAAATATTAAAGGCAAAAGTAACAATAAGAATTTTAAACAAGATAGTTTCTAATACTTAACATTTCTAATATCCTCTGTCCTTAAAAGGTAGCTTTTTCTTTGTCATTGTTCTCAACAGCTCAATTTTTTGTTCACTGCACAAAAATTTAAGGTTTTCCCATTTTGAAGTTTCAGAGAAAAAAAGAATTATTTTAATGTAAACTGCCTACCATTCACTCTGATACACTGCTGCGGAGATTCCAAACAGTATTTTCATGTTTCTTAGCATTCAAAATTGCAAATAGAATAGATATCAGTCATAAAAAAGAAATAAAATGAAGTGCTTCGGAACAGACTAATCATGTATGAGGATCAGGAAGAAACTTGTCTCATACTCAGTAAGATAACTGAATTATGCTTTCTTCTAATTTGATAACTCCTAAATAGAAGTGATGGCAAGAAAGGAGCCAGGATGCACAACAGTTTCTCCATATGACATTGTGCCCTATCCTATTCCTACATTAAATCAGAGAAATGAAATAGGGGAATATACAATAGCTAGAAATTCACTTGGTATTTTTTAGGACTGAAATGACATACTCTTCTTAGAAAAGTGGAAAGACCCTGAAAAGATGAAAACTGTATCAGGAGACACTGTGTTACTAAAGCCAAGCAGTGCCCTTTTTCCACATAAGTTGAAACACAAAATTCAGAATTTGTTCAAGGGAATTTGTTAGGAGACTGAACTTAATAAATGTTTTTGAACCCATTTGAAACTATATCCCTTAACCAAATTCTGAATTTGTGGTCATGCTACTTCATCTGAAAATGCAATA